TTTTTCTTATTTTTTTTCCATGTGGGTGTTGTTGGAAGTTAAAGACTAAAAGAGAAATAAATTGTTTCCTTTGTCCTCTGCTTCTTACAAGCAACCTACATATTGTACAGTTATTTGTATTCCATGGTATTATTATTCCATTTGTGGTTATTTCAGAACCGGTTAAATGGAATTCAGGCGAGTTGTTTGTGCTTTAAAAACTCCTTGACAGATGTAGGTTCTTTTGGCCCAATCACAGTAACTGGCCCACCCCTTTTCTCCCCACTCCAACAGCCAGTCTCTTTCCTCATGTTTATTTATTCTGACAGCCCGCCCATGTGATTGCAGCTAACCAACCAGGTTGCTTCTGTGTGGGATGACATCACTAACTAGCTGGTTCCCTCCAGCAGCAGGGGAGCTTCATTTTCTGCTCAGTGTTCGTGCTAAAATGGAGGCTGGCTCCTCGCCTTAGCCTGGGCTACCCTCTTCTCTCCTGTTTCCTGCCTCAGCTCACTGATGTTGGCATGTACTAGAGCTGCCGGCGGGATGGTTCTGGATGGACCGAGCGCCAATGGGCCTTTCCAGCCTGTGGCCCTCATGCATTTTAGAGGTGAGAATAGGAAATCTGCTGCTGTGTACTGGTCTGTTTAAAGAGGAGGTGGGCTTGAGTGTTAAGCAGCCACAGCTGGTGATTTAAAAAAGAAAAGAAAAAAAAAGCTTGATATTATATGTATCATTACTTTTGTGGAGGCGAGTTTAAGAGTTTTTTTTAGTGTTGTTTGCACGAGGGTTTTTGAAAGAGAAAGGAGGTGATTGTGTTTGTATGTCAGCAAGGAAGGGTTCTGCCAAGACATTGCAAAGCTTAGCTTTAGTTTAGAGAGGGGGGGGGGGTGTAAGATTGGTAGTTTTGAGTCTCCCCTCCCCCATCAACACTATTGATGTCATAGGAAGTGAGGTCAAAGCTTGTTGTTAGTTTGTATATGTCTGTATTGTATTGTTGCAATGTGACTAACATAAGTAGAAAGGTTGTTTGATGTTGTTGTAGCTCCAGTGTTCTTTTTGAGTTGACGTTGATTCGGACAAACTTAAGGAAGCTGGAAGCTGTCTCTAGATGAAGTGGCAGTGTGTGTTTAACATGCAGCCAATTATTTCATAAGCTTGCTGCTGTCACAGTGATGTCAGTATCATGGTGTTGCTTATGTGGCTGTTAACATGGTCTCGTGACATTTATATGCATAGTGATAATTACAGCAAGTTATGGCAGAAAGCCACCGGTCCCTCCTTTGGATATCCTGTGTCTGAAGGGACAGATGGTAAGCGCACCACATTTGCCATTAGGGACACTTTATTAATCAGTTATTTTCATATTCCGCAGTACAGAATGTCTGAGTCAAGAGTTGTGCTTAGAAGCAATTTGTGTTCGTGGCTGGCTTCCTGTATGCATGCTGGAGCTTTTAGATGAGTAAAGGTTATTCACTGATCCATGCAGAGACGCTCGTGTGTGAAGTCTGCAGTTGCACAGCAGGTCTCTTAATATTTTAGGTCTGTTCAGAAACCCTAGTGCTGTTGTGTAACAGGAGCTGGTAGACCTCTCAGCACTCAGAGGCTGATGAGTCGAGGTGCTCATGAGTCGGCCTGTAACAGTAATAGGAACAAAACTTGATGCAGGTGTACCAAGCCTCAAATAACTCGGCAACCGTTTTTCTGTATTCATCTTACTCTTTTCACTATAAACACCACATTTGACCACCTCCCCTCTACCCTTAATGACAAGTTTTGACACCTCAGTGTTTATCAGTAAAGATGTTGTTTGATGACCATTATGATAGTTTCTGGGTTTTTCAAAGGGTAGCTGAATAAGCAGAGACCACCCTCACGAATCTGCACACCCAGTCATTTTGTTCTATAAGCAGCTCAATTCAGAAAAGACCTTAAAGGGTTACTCCTTGTAGGATTTCAAGCGTTAAAGAGTTAAGGGTAAAATTTTGAGACTTCCTAGTAAAACAGATGCTACTATATTAACTTAACACTTATAAATATTTTTATTAACTTGCATGCATTTAGAGGGGATTGTTCATCAATTTGACAAGTATTTGTGCTCACTGTCCAAACAAGGCTTAATATATATATATATTTTAAACACACTGTACGCACTTAAGCAGAAGCAAGCTGAATATTAGTCATGAACACAAAAAGTGGTCGTGAGTTTTACTTTCACAGTTAGTGCACCTCACTGGAAAGGAAGACACTCTTATGTAAACTTGCTCCAGAAATACAAAATAGATCAGCTTTAGTGTTCTCCACGGATGTTGTGGCAAAAGCTCAAGAGCTTGGCTGATGTTTGACCTTTTACTGTGCTCAATTGGATCCTGTTTGCGGATAGTAGTTTGAATATGGCAGTTAGTCTTCTAAATATAAATTCAAAAATTTTCCAGTTTTTTCAAAATATCTTATGGCATGTATAACTATTTGTATAAAAACAGACAAACGTAAAACAAGAGCCAACAAAGAGCCATTAGATAAGAAAGGAAGCAACAGTAAAGTAAGGAAGCTTCACCACAAAGCTTTGACACTGTAACAGTGTTGGGGAATTATAAAGCAAATACATTATTGATTCAAAAGGGTAGTCTACCTAAAAGAACTTATAGGATTTACAGCTAGCCCTCAGACAGCTTTGTTTCATGCTGTTTTAAATGCTAACGTTTCCTCTGTGACTAATGTGGAGGTGTGCTGTCAGTCGCAATTTGAGGTTCTAGTCTGTGAGCATTGCCTCCATTACTGAATCTTTTAGAATTGACCTATTTTATTGGTGCCAGCTGTTAACATTTTGTCTGGTATCAACTTATGCAAAGCAGGGTCTGCACAGAAAATACTGTAGATATATAATTACAGATTACCGTGCTGTTTTAACTCTTTATTCCAAAGTGTTCAAGAAAGCCACTGGACGTTTATAAATGTATCTGTAAGATTACTGAGTGTAGCAGGGAGTGCTGACTGACTTATTTTACTCCATGATTCATGTTTTGCATGATGCCTTTGGCTGACACTTTTTTCAGCCATAGCTGATGTGATCAGCAATTCAGCGGTCTCTTGATTCCAGTGTAGAAGCAGCAGACATGCGTCTCTGATTAGCAGTGGTCACCCCCTGGTCCAAAGTCCTGTCTCTGCCTGCAGTCACCATGGTGATGTAGGGTACACATGCAGATTGTTAATGGGGAGAAAAGAAAGACTCAAGAATCACAGACTGTGATGAAGAGATTAATGCTGCCCCATAGGTAGGTTTTATAAGGTGACATTCTGTTTTAAGACACTAATCCCCGTGTTGGATGGAAATGAATGAGCACCAATCCACTTCTCTTGGTTTCATGGTATTTTCTGGAGCTTGGGAATCGGATGAGCTCAGGCTAATTCAGAGGAGAAGCTTCCTTTCTGTGACTCGTGTCATTTATTACAGGCTGCTACTGACAGTTTTGATCATTGTAAAGAAAAGGGAAATGGCTGTGTCCTAGTGAAGGCCCCATCACAGTAGATTGCATAATGCTGGGGTTATTTGGTGCTATATAGGCTGCTTGTAGTAATGGCGTCCTTTCTACTTTTGTCAAAAAAAGGTGAAAGTAAGTTGCACTTTATTCAGAGCTCTTCTTCCTGAGTGCTGATAAAGGGAGAGAGCACACATTATAGCTATTTCTAAAATTGCTAAAATGGTTACCTGTAGATTTAGAGTAGGTCTTGTTTATAAAAACGTCCGAACTTTCATACCTTGCACTGTTGCACACCTTATGATGTATGGAGTGTGCAAACCCTTCAAGCTCCGTTCAGGTTCCCTCTGAGCAGTCCAGAAAGTTGATTGAAATTATGATCTATTTTAATATATAATAATTCTGTTTAGAAGCTTTGTTATTGTCACTTAATTACTTAATTGCAGACAAAAAATGTTTTCATACTTTTCTCTAATCGTTCATATCTTTGAGGAAGCTGTCAAGTGGTTATAAATCATTTAAACTGACACTAATTGGAGGTTAGCTCATTGTGCAAAATTCATTGGCTGCAAAAACATGTAATTTTTTTTAATTGCAAGCTAATAATGATACACAGGTAGGTGTGGCCCCACATTCCCAGAGGGTGATTTAGATCTTTTGCATCATTGATGTGGCGATAACATAGCAGTCATTACCTCACTAAGTTGAATTGGTTGCTTTTTGCTTTAATAACTAGAGGAACGTGTGTATGTGTGTGCAGAGTTGAGTTTGAAATCATTTGGATGAACAGTTTTCATTTTTTACCAAAGGATTTCACAACAGTTGGCGCACGGATACGTCAGCTGCAGGGCTGCTCTACTCTGTGATTGGTTATTGCTTTAAGCAGCTGTGATTTGTTATTTGGCTGTCAGCAGGCTTTCATCACCGGGTACACTGGCAGCACAGAGAGAGCTGCTGTGCACAGTTGATGCATGGGGCACTGGTAACTTCATTATCTATCATGTGACGTGCCACCCGGATATATTCTGCTTTATCAACCAAAATGCTTATCTCCAAGCAAACAGCTGAGCTGCTGTGCACAAATTCACAGTTCCAGTGAAGTCTGTAGAAACAATGCAGTCGTGCCCAGAATAAAGCCAGCAAGTCGAAATGTTCTTTCCTCTGGAGAAGCACAAAATATGTGTATCTGGTGTTTTTATTAAAGAGTTTTCAGTAGGAAATCCAGCATTTCCTGAACTATCAAATAAATGAAAACGCACACACAAAAGCTGCAACCGTTCTGTCTCAAACAAGCACAGCACAGCTCAGTAAACCTAAAGTTATTCAGAGACATGCCTTGCAGTCTATAACATTATAAGTCCTTTGTGATGGATCACAGCAAAATAAAATATGGTTGTAAAATGAAGAGATTGCTTAGCAAAACATTTAAAAGTAAGTCAGCCTGTCGGTATCATTGCTGCTCTAATGTTAAAAATCATTGACATTTTGCTTTGTGAAGAGAATTTGAATTTAATTCCAGCCTTTCTTCTCTCTGTTTCACAGATGTTCCCCCTGCAGAGCAGGAGAAGCTGTTTATCCAGAAGTTGCGTCAGTGCTGCGTTCTCTTCGATTTTGTCTCAGACCCACTGAGTGACCTGAAATGGAAGGAGGTGAAACGAGCCGCGCTGAGCGAGATGGTGGAGTACATCACCCACAACAGGAACGTCATCACCGAACCGATCTACCCAGAAGTGGTTCACATGGTCAGTATTACAGTAAACAGTGGAAATGAGAAGCTTGGACCAGTTGTTTTTATTTTATTATTTTATTTTGACCTGGCAAATGTTTAATAAGTAGAGAGTATAAGTGAACATAATTAACTAAACTTAGTTAGCCATCTTTGTACTTTGTATCACTCAACTCCTGGAAAAAAGTAAAGCCTTGCATAAAAAGCGATTTGGTTACTCATATTGCAAAAGTATGTGTGGACTTTCTGTCTCGAAAGGCTACATCTTATGTCAACTTAACTGTACTTTAAAATAAGAGTAAGGGAATTTTCCAGTTGTAAATAGGTCACATCATTGTCGGAGACGGAGGAAAAAATTAGAATAAAATGCAAAGTATGTTGCCAAGATACATGGGACTCCCACCCAAGTCAGGTTTAAGTGTGAGGAAACTCTGCCACCAGTGTTTCCATGAATGAAAGCTTTAAATGATTTAGAATAGAACATTAAAATCTGTAATGTCCTGTGATGTACTAGTGCTGTGGTTCTATAGCTGATGATATTTCTCATAAAGCTTTTTATCCCATAGAATATGCAATGTGTAATATGGTTTGGGGAATGTTTTAGTAGTTTAGGTCTAAAAATATTCACTTACACAAACTCTGCATTGTTCCTTTATAATTGCTTTATTTCGTGTTAGCGAGATGTCACGTGTCACTTCTCTTACTGTAAAATTGTGTAAGTTGTAATTGTGAAAAAAGGCTCAGTGGAAGCCACATGGCCTCGGAGAGCCATCTCACCCGGTAGATTCCCTTTTCTTTCTTTTTTTTCATGTTTGTGATGAAGCTGATTTGTTTTCTTCAGTTTCATTTTCGCAGCATGGAACGAACATTTTGTGGTTTTCACTTGACCCATTTTAGTTTTTATTTTGGTAGTT